AGCAGGAAGAAAGATTCAACAACAAAAGAAATAGGGGAAAAAACAGGGAAAGAAAATGCTCTCCCACCTTCCACTGCTCTCCAATCAGCCTGCTACTATTGCAAGTTAATCCAGGAGTTATCAAAGGATCACAGGAAAGAGTCCTACACCCCAAATTCCAATGAGGGATTTTTTCCTACAATATATTCTGGAAGGTTTTATGCAGCCTGCTATTGATGGAACTTCCATCACCTTCCCTTGGGAGGCTGGCTCTATACAGAATATTCTGTTCAACCGCCAGCTTAAGTTGTCCTTGTTTCTTTCTTAGTAAGATGTAGATCTGACTTGAACTACCTGGATCACCTGACTCCATAGTCAGTATTATCTAGGAGTGTAGTAAGTGTGTTATCTACCTCCCTCTCAAGAAATACTCAAGTCTAACAACAATCCTGGCAGTACCCACAAGATGACTCCTTATCAGTTAATATATCAGCATTTATTACCACCCTGTGGTTACAGCTCTTCCAGCCAATATTAAGCCCAGGTGAAAGTATGTATAGTCAACTAGTCTGAATGTCAGGTGCTTGAGGTACTCCACACCCCTCTAATCTTACACTTTGATGGGATGCTGCTTGTGACAGGGACCATTTGCTATTATGCATTTCGCAAGTGCTCAGCCTGGAGAAGGAACAAGGTCTTCTCCATCTCAGGGCTGGGGTTCCTAGCCCCACCATGATATCAAAGTCTTTAAATTTAATTGTGAATTCTGAATGTAGGGCATGATTTTTCTTTAAAGCAAGGCTGCCTATTGCTTATGGTTGATTTCAGATGCTTATACATCTCTCTGGATGTTGCATAGTATTACACAGGATAAAAGATTTAAACTGTAAGTCCTAGGACTGGCTTAAAGTTATATCAGTGCTGCATTTGCTTTCAATGCTTTAACATACAAAAACACCATGTCACATCTTTTTAATCATTATTGTTTAATAAAGATATTGCATCTCACACAGTTCTTTTAAAGCAGTAAGAGAGACTCTAGACATTTGGGTTTCTCCTCTAAATCATTTTCTTCACTGCTTTTCAGCCTTCTATTTCAGGGTCTTCACTAACATTTTTTTTTTTGTTAAAGAAAATACCTCTCTCCATAGAAGCACTGCAGAAGCAGGGTGGTACTGCTTCTTGTTATGAAAACGTCCTGGATTTAAATAGAGACAGCACTATAACAGACCAACCTCTGGGAAGGGGCCACAGTCACAAGCAGTGCGACACTACGGATTGAAGTAGCAGTACTACAGTTTCAACTACTGCTAGGAACAGGTGTTAAATGTTTGTTTAATTTAGCAGTGCAGAAGAAGGGCAGAGTTTCCCTGCATGCGAGAGAGGTGAAGCAGCTAAACCTAGGGATATGCAGGAGGCACATCAGAAGGTTTGGGATGACTTGTATGGGAAACAGGAACCAAGTATGGTGCTGTGTGGGTCAGGGAGAATGCCACACTACATGCACAAACCAAATTGGTGCATACTTTCATTTGGAACAAGTACTAGGCTGGGAAAAGGAAGCAGCAGGCAAGGTAAAAGCAGGATATTGCAGAATTAATCTCATGATCCTGCTGCCAAGACTGCCAGGATTTTCAGTTTGTTTGAAGGAAAGAAAGCTGTTCATTACTCTGCCAGTTTCAAATGGTTACTCTCTGCCTCATCACTGATTAATGTCTCAATGTCTCTCTGGAGTTTCTTGCCTTTAATACTTAAAACAGTCCTTATAATGATCATCCATCCAATTTTTTGTTTGTCTCAAGTTCTATAGCACCTGACCCCTTATTCCCACAAGCCACTCAAACTATTGTTGCTCTTTCTGCTGGTTTAACTAAACCTATATATTCAGCTAGCATTTTCTCTCTAGCCTTGATTTTCAATATAGATTCTTTATTGTTTTCATATACCAGTGGAGCCTCAAGAAGCATCGTCAGCCACTTCTTCCTGACCCCAGTATTTTTCTTCCCGTGGAAGACTCAGGTTTCTTTTCTCTTCTCAACTATATATGCAATTTTTCCTCCTCTTCTCCAATACCTTCAAGCAGCTGTTTGATTAAGCTATTCCTGCATAACTGGAGTTTAAGTCTCATGGTCAGCATAGCATCCCTATTACACTTACATTCACAAATAATGCCTCCCTAGCAGTAAGAAGATGATCAAAGTAGGTTTCTCCTCTAGCTAAATTATCTACTTTCAGGCTCATAAAAACTGCCTTTTATTTCACTTGAAGAGGGCTTAGGAACCATATGTTAGAGTGCTTCCAAGTCAACAGTTGTCCAAGTGCTTAAAATCCACATGACTATATTTTCCAGTGATTCTGGACTCCATGGGAGCTGACAAATTTTTTTTTGTTCTTATTTTCTTCTAGAAGTTCAATTTTGCCATTTCTTTTGCCCTTCATAAAGTAGCTCATTACCACCTTCTTCGCACTGAAATAGTTTCTTAAATTTATAGAGCCACCTTCTCTCTCACTGACAGGATCATTCACCGAAATATTATGTTTCAGTTTCATCCACTAGATAATATTCTCCTTTGATTAAATAAAACCCACCTTTTCACTTAGCTATATTTCTCTTTCTATCTTTTTCTAATCCTGACAGATTTGAACCCAAGAGACTGGAATACCACTGGCTGTGCTGAAGACTGTCTACTCATCACAAAAGGGATGGCAATGCTCAGAAGACCCAGGGCTGCTCCTCTCTAAACTATCCAAGGTTCTAGCAGCTGGTCTCCAGTATGACCTTCTACTTTACTCACACTAAGTACTAGAAAAATATAAGACCCCCTATGTTGACCTGGCTGCAGCTGTCTTCCAAAGATCCTAAAAGAATCCTCTTTGATAGCAGCTCTTTCCTTCTGTTACTAGTTCTTCCATAAGCTACATTAAGTGGAAATTCCCTGGCTTCCCTCAAGCTACTGTTAGCTCTTGTCAGCACATTTCATATTTTGGCACTGGGGAGGTAGCACATCATCCTTCTCTCTTTTTCAGGAATTAGACAACCCAGCTATGTTCTTTGCTACCAAATTGCTCATCAAGATCACTTGCCTCCGTCTGCGCCTCTGGTGACTCCTTTTCAATTGTTGGTGAAACTACTGCCTAGTTCTCAGCTTCCTCCCTGTCTGTCCATCCCACTATAAATCAAGAACCTCTATCATTTCTATCAAAGCCCAATGACCCTGAAGGCATCAAGTCTTCCCATATACTTTTCTTCCACATTCTTCCCTTTGGGGTCTCCACCTGTCAAATCTCTCCTTGCAGTTCCCTTTAACGCAGTCCAATACATGTCTTTCCCCACTTTCAGGAGTTTCAGCAACTCCAAGTCCCTCTAAAGTAAGACTCCATACCACATGCATGTATAACTCATGACAAATCCAAAAAGAGCAAAACAAAGAACAGGTTGAAGAATAAGCTCCACTTGACAGGCTCTCAGTCTCTTTCTACCAAACTATTCTAACGCACAGGCTTTAGCTAATGGGTGGTAGAGGTGACCAACAGAAGTTTCACCTAGCTCCACAAGCAACAAAGTATACCAAATTCTCCCATGCAATCCCAACCCAGCTGAAGATGAGCAACTATAACATAGGATTAGCTACCACTAGAACAATACACCAAGAATACACCCTGAAATTAGACAGATTTGTAGTTTCTACCCCACAAGATTGTATTGTCAAGGTAAAAGGCCCCAGGCCTATAAGGCCTCGAGCAATACTAATACATTTCAATTCCTATGAAGACTTCCCTCTGTGTTTGAGCATGCATTGCCAATAACAGCAGATAAGTCCTCTATAAACACACATTTAGCTCAGTCCACAGCAGTAGGTCTTCAAAAAACAGAGATGACAAAATGCTCTAGGACCTGACCACTTCTGATCTAAGTATTTGGGATCCTTCCAGGACTCTATCCTGCCTCACTTCAAGTTAACGTTTGCATCACGACTAACATTTATTTCATAACTCAGGAATAAGAATCGAGATAAGCACCTTCAAAATGTGTGGAAAATAAGATTCCAGTCATGGTTCTCCTATTAATCAAGCACGGTGATGGGAAGAATGGCAGAACAGAACACTAACCTCTGGCTGACAGCTTTTTGGTGTTGATGATTTTTGCAGCATATTCTTGGGTTGAGCTCTTCTTTACACATCTGCGAACCACAGAGAAGGCTCCCCTAGGAAAAAACAAAAAGATGCTGGGTGCTGTCAAGTAAAAAATGAAAATCCAACATGCAATTTCCATCCCTCCCAACCAACATGCACAGGAGTAAATGCTGGTAAAAACAACAAGTACAGGGGAGGCAATAGGTGAGAACAAGTAAAAAATGCTGTCTATGTTCACAAATAAAGGCTGAGAAGAATACACCTAAGTGCCTTCCTCAAGACTCCACAGGGCCTTGATACCCACAAGAACAAAAACAGTTCTAATTTCTCCTCAGTTGCAGAGGGTAGGGTGTGGAAACCACACAGGGACCAGACAGAGAAAGAAAAGCAGCCAAGGCTGAAAAAAACAGCATCCTCTTAACAGAGCAGACCCTGCAGTTAGTCAGACAGCTAGGAAACACTTCTCCAAGGTCCTGGTCTCAGGCCCTGCCACTGAACCACTGAAACACCTTGGACAAGTCACCTGGAAAAGGAAGAGAGGGGGATACAAACCTAGGACACAGGTGCTAGGGGCCAGAGAAGACTACTCTTAGTTTGTTAACATTTTACAAGTAGGAACCAGGGTAACTAGTACAACTGTTACCAACGGCTAAAGGGGGGGGGGGGGCGGAGAGACAGCTCCAAGAAAGATAGCAGGAAAGGAAGGAAGGACTCTGAGCAGAAAGGGGATAAGATGGGAGAGGGAGGTGCAAGGAAAGATGCCTTCAGCTTTAAAAGCCAGTGGGGAACCTGGAGACAGGGCACAGGATGGAGAGATGAACTCAGCATGGGCCAAAGAATGAATCAGGGAAATCTGACAGGGAAGCAGCCCAGCCTTTGAGGAGGAAACTGGGTCCCTCCAGGCTGTCGAGGATTCTGCAGGTTAGCAAATTAAGTAGAGAAAGAGCCAGGCAGGAGCCCACAGGAAACCAGAGCTGACAGAAAGCACCGGGTCCCTCCCTGCACCGCAGAGCCCGCTCACGCCCCGCATCCCTCCTGCCCCCCCTGCAAACCAG